GATTAATGTTGCGCGTATTCAAATTGTGAATTAAATTCCTACGAACAAGCTTTTGCATAAGATAAACGGGAACAGAAGTTTTTAATATTTTTACGACAAATGTAACAAAGTTGTATTTGAAAAGATCAGAAATTTTCAACCAATTCATTGAAGATATTGAGTGAGAAACATGATCGTACCTTCTTAAATTGTTTATGTAACGACTACATGAGTTTTGAATTTTTTGCAGTCTGTATTTTGTGATTTCATCCAGACAGGGATAATAAACTATGTTGCAGTAAGCAATTTTACTGAGTATGAGTGACTCGCATAACATTTTCTTAATTTTTCTATTTAAAACAGTTTTACTTGCATATAGAAGCCTGAGTCTAAAATAACTAGACTTACACACATAGCCAACATGCTCCTGAAATCTGAAATCTTCATCCAAGTACAAACCTAAATTTTTTGCAGAATGGGAAAATATTAGGATACTATTATTTATTGATAAATTTAACTTTGATTTGAGGAAAGTACGTTTTTTCTTGGAGCAAAAAAGTATAGCTGTCGATTTCGATGCGTTTAGACGTAAATTATGTTTTTCAGCATATGTGCATAAGTATTGCAGATCTTGATTGATAAGGTTGTTAGCTAAATGGTAGTTGTTCGGACAGAAATTATGAAAAACCTGCATATCATCAGCATATGATTGACTAGAACAATGTTGAAGGGTGTTGGAAATGTCAAAGGTGTATATAAGGAATAAAAGTGGACCTAATATGGATCCCTGTGGCACGCCGGAACAAATCGACCTTTTGTCTGAAAGTTTATTTTGTATGACGACATATTGATGTCGTTCATTTAAATAGCAATCTATCCATTCCAGAACCAAGTCGTCACACCCAATGTATTTACATTTAGAAACTAACAGCTTATGATTCAGGGTGTCAAAAGCCTTGCTGAAATCCAATAAGACTGGCTGGCAGTGAAAATGGATTTATACCTAATGCCATGCTGTTATCTGCCAAAAATATCAAAGAATCATGTGCCGACTATCATGAGGACATGACCTCCGACTTATTTGAAAAGTGGATAGAGCAGCAGTTAATACCAAACATTTCCCCAAATTCAGTGATTATTATGGACAATGCGCCATACCATTCCCGACAGAAAAACAAAATTCCGAATACAGGCACAAAAAAACAAGACATTATTGATTTTATGAAGGATAAGGGAATGGAAATACCACAAAAATCAACCAAAGCCATATTATTGGATCTTATTAAAAGACAAAAATTTGAAAAAGAGTATGTTGTTGAAAATCTGCTTCAGCAAAATGGCCATGAAGTATTACGTCTACCTCCCTATTACTGCATTTTTAACCCGATTGAGTTGGCCTGGGCTGCTTTAAAAAAAAAAGGTAAGAAAACATAATCAGACCCCTCAATTAAGTGAATCGCTATTGGCCACAATAAGAGATGCAGTATCTCATATTGCTGCCACAGACCTATGGAAGCAGTGTTCTAGGCATATTATTGAAAAAGAAAATGAATATTGTGTTTTGCCTCGTGTAAATCCCGTTGTAATTCCTCTACAAGATGACTCTAGCGACAGCTCCGAAGGCGAGGATGATATATAAATACCTATAATGTAAGTCTTTATATACCTTTTTATATACCTACCTGCTATGTAAATATTTGCCTATGTCAAACGTTGGAATTCTGTAATTTTTCCATTTCTTAACTTTCAGTCAACATAAATTAAACTCCCAATATAAGTATTTTTTATCCCAAATCAAAAAAATAAGAAGATAGTAAAATCCATTTATTGTGATATAAAAACATTATTATTATCGTTCTAAATAAATGACCGCACGCCTATGATACGTCATGAAATTACAAAGGACGCGCCGACCAAAGGTTTTTATGCTATTTCAAGTGACTTCAGATAAAGTTTTTTATACGTGCATGACCTTTATAGATACGCGTCGTTCGCAGTTTTGTGAATTCGTTACTGTGAAAGAGAATAGACAAATTTTTAGACAGTAATCTACGCTGTAGTAGATAAGTTGCCTACCAAAGAGAACTGAAATTGAATAATGAGGGAAATAAATGATGCATAATCTATGCCAATAAAAACGAATTTAAAGAAAGCAGCAATAGGTTTTTAATTTTCAAGGTATGGAATGTTTAGCACAAGGCTAGATTGAAGGGTTTAATGTAACTATAGATAGGGTGTAATTTTAGATAATCTGACAAAAAGTCTGATACTGAGCGTTTGTACAGAAAGGCTAACTGTGAGTGGACATGGACATACATATATTCAACAGATCGAGGAGATTGTGATATTTTCAAACACTTTACATTGTATGTTTAGACCCTGATAAAATATAAGATGCGGACGGTACTAAGGCCCGTATCGTCAGTCGTCCCTACAATTGTAGGGCGCCTTTATGGTCTCCTTGATTGTCATAGTTTTCTACTTCTGCGTGTCAGCGCTCTATTTTGAGGTTATGTCACAAACATCTATTTGCATCAAATTGTGCTTGCTTTTGAGTTATATCATGTTTTATCAGCCTGAAATTTCCTACAATTTAAAAAGAAAACATATCTTCACAATAGGAAAGCGCTGACACTGATACGGGACAAGTGTAATCTAGAAATTTTTGAAGGAGAGAAAGGAGTATGACAATCAAGGAGGCCATAAACCCGCCCTACAATTGTAGGGACGACTGACGATACGGGCCTAAAAAGCAATAAAACTTTGATTTACTCGTTAGAATCTCTCCAAAATGACACATTATACCAAAATGATGAACAAAAGTTTTTAGAACCGGAAACAGTGCTGAACTATCCATTGCACTTTTCAAACCCACATGAATGTTGCTTCAGTCTTATTGGATACACAATGGAAAGAAATTACGGAATTCTTATTTTCCAAATGGACAGGTAGACCATACGATGGTTTGTTGAAATGATTTTTGAATCTGCATCTCGAAAACTTTACAACTTATACAAATGTTTTTCTCAAAATAGGCAAATGGATGATGTATATAAACACACAGTATAACTTCATACAAATTAAGAATCGCATTAAATGGCAGCGATGTCCAATTTTGCTCCTGCTATACTCGGGTACCAAAACGGAAGTGAATAGCATAACAAATTGCTACCTCTAGCGCGACATTCCTTTGGATCGGCAAAGTCTGCTACTCTCTTCCGTGTCGGTACCAGATAGGCGGCGCTAGTATGGATTAAGGTCAAACTGTAAAAAATAGACAAGAAAAAGACAAATTTGAGAAAAAATTAGCCTATCTTTCATGATACTGCATCACGTTTTGAGGTCTATTGACGTGAACGGCTGATCAACAATCGACGTCTTTGTCTGTCTATAACCTTAGACATGACCCGCAACCTGATTATCACCATCTAATTCTAGCTTTCCAGATTGTGCCCAAGATTCAGCGGCCAAAAATTTATAATAAAACACCAGCACTGAATGAAACCTTAGATTTTCTGCCATTGTGAAGCAGGAATGATCTCATTAGCGTGCTAAAAACGAGAATGCCAATCTCCTCAAAACAAATAGCAGTATACGCTCTACAAACATCGTTTTATAAAATTCATTGTGGAAGTTTTATGATCAGAATAAGGCTAGCTGGAAGATTATAAGCTCCATAAGTCTGGATTTCATATGAGACTTTATGGTTAGGAGCTCTGAAAACAGAGCCGACGCTATGGCCGTAATTTTTATTTTCAGCCGTTTGGGATTAAAACTAGACAAAGTAAGAAATAAATTGCACAACATTATGTTCTGTATTGCAATAATAACCAACACATGCAAGGTTATAATCTAGAATTGCACTAGTCTGTAAGGATGTAAACAATAGTTCGATGATTTCAAGGCATACAGGGTGTTCATTTGAAAACTTCCCACCACCGATTGATCGAAAACCACTTACACTACTTCACCCCCTTTCACCCTCGCCTCCCAAATGGTATTCCCTAAAAAATTGAATAACAAGGAGTATCGAATAATAGCTTGTTTGGAAGGTCTTTCAAAGTCCATTATTTTGACGTATGATTTTAAAAATCAATCGATTCGTTTTCGAGTAAATCTTTATTTATCTTAATTTGTTCAGATAGAAAACAGAAACACACGAAAATAACACTTTTTATTTCAAGTTCAAAATGTTGCCCATTAGGGTTTGCAAAATCTACAAAACGTTTATAATTTAATAATTTAATGGAAACAACCAATTAACAACCCGAATTTTTTTCCGCATTCTTTTCATCAACACAGATATCCTGGACAAACCTAATTTATTGTTATAACTGTTTGTTGTTGCTAAGGAAAAGAAAAAATTTAATTTGTCAGTTACCTTTGTGACAACCTTGGGATAGTGAAAATTAATTTATTGATTCAGATTTTACTTCCAAAATGGTTTACACGCTAGCCAAATCATTCTAGTTTATGGTGCCCAAAATATGTGCTCGACAAACTGCCGTCATAAATTTCATCTATTCAAAATGAAAATATTGCAAGAGTTAACCGAAAATGATTTCGATAGGCGAGTTGAGTTTTGTGAACAAATGACTGCAGCAATTAATAATAATACCATTTATTCAAAGAATATCTGCTTCAATGATGAATGCACGTTTTATCTAAATGGATTTGTTAATGAGCGTAACTACAGGTACTGGAAAAATGAAAATCCTCATGCTTTTGTAGAAGGGCATACCCAGTACACCCAAAAAATTAATGCATGGGCGCAGGCATTTTAGGAAACAAAGTGGGCCATTGTTTATTAATGGCAATTTGAATCGAGATATTTATTTGGATATGTTGGGAAATTCCATCATTCCGCTTCTTATTACTGAATCCATTGAAAGCCAAATCGATGAAGATGGAAACCCTATACTTCATGAGGCTAAAATATATTTCCAGCAAGACGGCGCTCCTCCTTACTATGTTCTTCCGGTTCGGCAATGGCTAGACGACGAGTTTCCAGACGAATGGCCTAGATCTCCTGATTTGATGCCATCAGACTTTTTTCTATGGGGCCATTTGGAATATTTTGTTTACTCCCCAACCTGAAGAAACTAAAATAAATGAAGATTTCTCTAATTTTCTTAAAAACGAATCGACCGATTTCAAACGTCAAAATAAAGGACTTCGAAAGGCCTTTCAAACAAGCTATTATTTGATATTGCTTATCATTTAAAATGTTCAAGTTTTTGGTTAAAAAGTTGTCCAATTTGGCAAATTTTTTGACGTGCCTCGGCGTTTTTTCTTTTAATCAGTGGTTTTCGATAAATCCGTAGTTTTCAAATGAACGACAGCGTGATTTTTCAACGAGTTGAGACATTTTATAATTCCTATGTATCATTTATAAGTCTTACAGTATGCAAGAAAATTGCATGAAATCGCAGTTGCCCTTAAATTGTCTGTCTAGACATCTTGGCAGCTGATTTGCAAGATTATTTAACCTAAATAAATTAAAATATAGAATGTCCTCATTCCCCTAAACTTAATCACACACAAGCCACCTGACCTGTCTATGTAAATCTGTGTGTATTTAGGACATACACATATGAGGTTTTCTTTTTAGAATGGGCCCAAAAATCACCCGCTTAGATTGTGGTACTCAATTAGGAAACACCCTGTATAGTCATATTCAAACTACGATTCTATCAAATGTAGTTTATCACATGGTGAGACGCTAATGCCTGCCTAATGGGTAGTTATGAACAAAATGTGTAAATTATTATGTGCAAATGTTGGTTGTTGGTACACCTGATGATTATTACCATTTAATTTCCCTCAAAATCGGTGCAGCAGAGTGGCAATGCAACACGAAAATGGTGCAATTTGTTTTCAGCTAATGATTCAATGAATAGAAATCTACTGAACACAACACACTTTTCGCTATTACTCCACTGGTTAATTTAATTATAATGTATATTAATTCTGTATTTTTTGTTCTCTGTAACACATATAGGTATAATTAAATAAAGTTGCAAACTGCAATAACTTTTGAGAACTTGGTGATGACATTAAAAATTCTATTTGTGATACCAATGAATTAAGCATGTTTTTTTCATTCAAGCTCTGTTTATAAATCAAGATTCCTATTATTCTGTCCAGTCAAAGTCAAGACAGGTGAAACTGCCTGATCCAGATCTACTTTTTACTTTTGTTAAGAGCAGCAACTGTCCTCATAGTGGTTATTGCAACACTGTTTTATTTTTTTAAGTTTAAACATTCATTTAGTAGATTCTGCTAGCTGGATATGGATGACAAGCTGGGCTCTGTGCTCTGTATTAAAAAATAAATTCTGTTAACTGATGCTTTGCCATCCTTTGAATCACAGCATGTGTCCTTCTAGTAATCCTCCCTCTGCAATGTGTAGACACATACTTTTCAGAATTTCTCATCGATAGAAATATGAAATCAAGAAATAATGGTTGATGTCATTAGATGCATTGCGGCCGCTGACATTACTGACATTAAATTTTTTTAAAAAGGATTCTAATAGCTTGGTAATCTGTCAGCAATATATGTGAAAAATGTCAAATATGTGTAGCAATCTAATCTACAGGGGTATTATGTAACTTTGTGTGACATTATGTCAGTTTCTTTTTACATTATGTATGTTTTTTATGACATTATGTAGGTTTTCCTACAAGATGTCAACTAGGAACTAGCTGTCATTCACTTCATGCTCGCTTCTAGCAGGAACAGAATGAACTATTTGCACACTATCAGCTAACCAGTCAACAAGTTGGCATTTGATCATTTTTTTGACATTGCATAATAACCCTTTGGAACTGCTTTCCAGTTAGGTTAAATAATCTTGCAAATCAGCTGCCAAGATGTCTAGACAGACAATTTAAGGGCAACTGCGATTTCATGCAATTTTCTTGCATACTGTAAGACTTATAAATGATACATAGGAATTATAAAATGTCTCAACTCGTTGAAAAATGACGCTGTCGTTCATTTGAAAACTACGGATTTATCGAAAACCACTGATTAAAAGAAAAAACTCCGAGACACGTCAAAAAATTTGCCAAATTGGACAACTTTTTAACCAAAAACTTGAACATTTTAAATGACAAGCAATATCAAATAATAGCTTGTTTGAAAGGCCTTTCGAAGTCCTTTATTTTGACGTTTGAGTTTTTGAAATCGGTCGATTCGTTTTTAAGAAAATTAGAGAAATCTTCATTTATTTTAGTTTCTTCAGGTTGGGGAGTAAACAAAATATTCCAAATGGCCCCATAGAAAAAAGTCTGATGGCGTCAAATCAGGAGATCTAACAGGCCATTCATCTGGAAACTCGTCTTCTAGCCATTGCCGAACCGGAAGAACATAGTAAGGAGGAGCGCCGTCTTGCTGGAAATATATTTTAGCCTCATGAAGTATAGGGTTTCCATCTTCTTCGATTTGGCTTTCAATGGATTCAGTGATAAGCAGAATGATGGTATTTTCCAACATATCCAAATAAATACATACAATTTTGTCAGTCATTCTTGCCTGATTTTGTAGCTCTTCAGATGAGAAATTTAATATATATATATATATATATAAAGAGAATATGATCATGCGGAGAAAGGTATATAACAACAAGTAGGAAAATAATGGACAAAATCCGCACAAAGGAGGAAAGTGCAAGCACAGCAAGTGGCTATAACTGTGGCCGCGTGGTGGTGGTTAGACGTCTCCTTGAAAATTCGAGGTCCTCTAGCCATTTTATACTACAATGTGTAGGTTGGCTCTTGTTGTGGACTTCGTGTGTCGTTTTTTTTTTTCCCCTCCAACTTCGTTTCCTCAGGTTACACCCGTATCTGGATGTGTGGGCTTGTGTATCTACTTTTGTAGTTTCATATGTGCATTCATTTCAGGCCTGATGAAGCCAACCAGCAGAAATACGTATCGCTTGGGTTACCTATCCTATTTTCTGCTCGAATCCACTTTCCTCCTTTTTGCGGATTTTGCCCATTATTTTCCTACTTGTTGTTATATATATATATATGTCTGCACATTTTAGACGTATTGCCAAGATATAGCTCAGGTGTAGCAGATCTACAGCCAGGCCATATCCTGCAATATGTAAATAAGTTCATGATAGCTAGGTTATAGTTCTCATAATTATAGCCAAATATTGCAACCAAAATATTGCTCACTCAGGGGCTCCATAATGCACTAAAAGATTGCCCGTTTTGAGGCTCCATAACATACATTTTCTACATAAATTCAATAATGACAGAATACTCCTAAACAGAAATCATTAACACTATCCAAAACAAAATGCTATATACAAGCCCTTTCCCACTATTGAAATCTTAGTTTTTTCTTATCAAACACAAATAATAAAAATGTAGCAGGTTTAAAATATTAACAATGAATATCTTGATAATATATAGTAGAAAACACCAACATTATCACTCCCTAATCAAATTTGCAGCATAAAAATAACACATGTAATTACAGCATATCAACCTATTTTCATTTCAATGCAAAATAAGTCTATAACGCACATGTGGCTGTGAAAAATAAAAGCCATGACAATTGTTTTTATTAATCACAGCTGTCAGAATACGTTTAAAATAGGTTTTCAAAATGGTAGAGGAAAGGTTATTAGTGAGAAAATTCGGTTAATGCTAATTAAATTTTTTTAATTCTGGCACTTTGTGACAACATCCTGCTCGTACAATCACCGAACTGAGACAAAAGCTTCAAGAAATATGGGATTGTTGAAGTGTACACCAAATGTTTGCCAAAACTTGGTTATCACTATGCCCCAAAGAATTTCAGCCATAATAAAAAATAAAGGTGATTTTACCCAATGGTAATCTTTCAATTGTTGCTTTGTTTACTCCGCGCATTTATTTGCACACTGTTTATTTGTTCAGATGTTCTATTAGTTACAGGTCTAAGTGATTTCAAATATGTATTTTTTACGACTAGAGTGTATCTAAAATGTTTTTGAGAAAATAAATTGTTTTAGAAGTAAATAGTTTCATGTTAAAGGCATATTTTGGTACAAATCTTGAAGTGGGCCAACTGAAGTGGGAAGGGGCTTGTATCTAAACGTTGACGTAAATAATGTACTGAACTCAGTGAACAACATTATGATATGAACTAGTTGATCTGGAATATAAACAAGAACCACAACAAACCGGCATTATCAACCTAAACGCTCAAAAACCACAGCGGGAAATCGTTGAATTCAATCGGACCAATCAGAACGGATACTCATCCAGGTTTCCATGACAACGGAAAATTGACGGCTGGGTTAGGTAAAGTGACAAAAGGGCGGAGTTTCATGATCGCAATCGACGTTTTCTGTCACACTGCCTTCAGATGAATGACCAAAGCTTACTAATACGCCAAAACATTCAGAAACACTAGTTATATCTGATTTCAACAGCGGGTGGAAGAGAAAATACAATCAATAAAATGTTTTATCTCATGTTTTGTAGATAGTTCCATGCCACTAACCTGTGGTAAATTCGCAGCGATCTGCCTCTGGAGTGAGTCCCTTTCTTTCTCCACGTCCTGCAACTTAATCTCCATCTCACCCAGCCGGTCCTGGGTTTCCCGCAGGCTGTCCATCAACTTATCTCTTTCGTCTAGCATGGAGACCATCAGTTGCTCGAAATTGGCATCTTCGCCAGAGAATTGCGAGCTTCTCTGGCTGATGCTGTCCTCCGAGATTGTCGGCATAACGTCGCACATCATATTCCACATGTTTTCCAGTTACTATTCACGCCCGGAAGGTCTGGAGTCCCGATTTCGATACCATGTAATGGTTTTCCTAACCCTGCAGCCTTTAGTTAGCTGAATTTCGCTCTCTGACACTGGAAGCGGGTTGCGTTTCTATTGGAGCACATTGCCACGAACACCGTCTCGCCGAAGTTTACCATAATTCATGGGTTTTCACGATAACACGCCTCGAAAATTCATTATTCGGGTGTAGATTCATACACAAAATTACAGACTGCCAGCCATTTTAAAGGCGATTGTCAAAATTGTCAAACGAGCCCTAAATAAGTGTCGACATACGAGCAGTCTGTAGAAACTAACATCATAGGCTAAAATAAAATCCAACAGATGGCACTGTTGGCACAATCACAAGCTTGGAGAAAAATTGGGATGGTATTTGTATTTTTTTTCAATATTATTATCCGTGCTAGTTATCAAACGATGTATTAAAAGCCATTTACACAAGCAATGGAAAAGTCATTAAATTAAAACAACGCGTACATTGATGTCCAGTGGCGGGTACAGAGAGAAGTTTCCTGGGAAAACTTCTGAGACGGAAGTAACGTTTTGCTGGAACTCTCCACCAGTTAACAGCCTCCATGTATCCGCCACTGGGCGACACCTCCCTGGAGGTTTACTACTGCCATTGTGGTCCTCACAGACCTTATGCTTTTAGCCAAGGGCGTCGCCAGGGGGGGGCAGTTGCGCCCCTAGAGAGCCTGACAAATGTAGTGAAATGCAAATCAATAAAATTAAGTACACTCACTTAACGTGCTTCATCGATCATTCCCTCACGTCGAAACTCGAACGATTTCACCATTTCCATTCCTAGTATTCAAACTCTAAGTTATAATATATATACAATTACCTACAATTAATAGATTTCTCATTCATCGTATGAACTTGCCTCCCCTGGGCCATTATCCGGCGACGCCCTTGCTTTTAGCACCTGATCAGCAATTAAAGGCAAAGGCTAGTTTCACTTGCATATAATAAGTAAAATTGCTATTTTTGAACAAATTTGAAAGGATATTCAGATAACTGGAGATTTAAGGGAGTTATGACATCTTCTATGTTGGGTATTATAGCCGGCCGCTCTAGTGAGTAGAGGTTCGTCCATGACGTCACATTACATGAATTCGGCTTCACCAAAAATGCATTTGTCGACAAATAAATAATAAATTATTTTTATACTCATCTGTATATATACAGGGTGATGCACAAGTCGTGACCAAACATGTAACATCATACACAGGGGTTTCGAAAAAACAGTGGCGAATTATTTTCATTTGGAAAAATGCTACTAATCCCCTGTATCTCCGCCACTGGTGCACATTAATTTTAAGTAAAGACTGTTGAGTGTGGACAATACTTAGGTAAATCCACATACCAAATTTTACTTCATTCCAGTTAAAGGTTTAGGAGATATTAAGAAAAAATGTTTTAACCTTCAATACCCCGCGAGCAAAAGATGTTACATTGAAGATCCCCCTTAAAATGCGGTCCTCTGTATGATGATTCATTTTTGGGCACGACTTGTGAATCACCCTGTACCCTTTATGCATACAAGGTGTAAAGTTATTAGTGGATCAACGGAAGTCAGGTGATAGAGGGCCTCAAAACCTATCGAATGATGTGATATGTGTGGTCCGACATTTTATAGCTAAGGAGATATTTGCAATTTTGTGAAATTTCGGAAAAAACGGGATAATGAACTTTCAATCGCAATTACAACTAAACCATTAGGTCTAGGGTTGTGATTTTTGTTCTGAGATGAGCTAAATGGTTAGTTTTATGTCACTTTTAACAGAGGTAATTAGAAATCAAAGCAAAAATCTTAAATTCATTTTTTTGTGAAAAATCTGTTCCATCCCTCAACTTTGGAGGACGGTAAATAAAACTGACGTTGTATTTCATCATTCATTTTATTGTAAAAACTATTTCAATCCATGTATAATAAACCCTGAAAATTTTAGCTTGCTACGATAAGTGCCTCACCTTAAAAAATCTGAAGAGGGCCATTTTCAACAATTTTTGTAATCATTTCGTTAGTTTTAATGTTATGTTTATGTTTTCAGTTGTTATTCATTAACCCTAATGTGTTTAATTTTTCCAATTACATTAATAATAATTTTGCCAGTTAGACAATCGAACGGTTTTTACTTTTTTACTCAAAAATGGCACATGGAAGGAAAACAATTCAAGAGAAATCATTTGTTTTAAATTGAACGGGAATTCAAAAATAATTTTTATTTGTTAAAAAACCCATTGGCGTACCATTTTTCACTTAAAAAATATCGAAGTCAACACCCGTACGCACGCCACTGTTGAAGCTAAAAATTATTTTTGCATTGAAAAATATGCAACTTTATTAATTTTCACTACGTACTAAATATCAGTGACATATCTGAAGCGGTTCTGAAAATATTAATTTCCATTTTTTCCCTAAAACTTCAACACCCCGACTTTTTGTAAGGAAACATATGTGGACCATAGTTTATATAGCAAACTAACATTAATTTTTCATGTAGATTCGCACCCTTAAATATTCGCATATCATTAAGGAACACCGTGTATACATACAGATTCAACAAACACTTCCTATCGTATTTACAACTGTAATTTAGTTTACATAGGCCAAACGTCGAGATCACTGAAAGGCAGGATAACCTTACACAAAAGTGACGCCAGATTACATCCAGAGAGATGTGCTTTGGCATCACATGTTAACACCACAGGTCATTCCATGAGTTATGGCAATATTAGGGTTCTTGACAAGAAAAAACAACTCTCAAAACGTCTATTTCTATAAATGTCCCACATTTTCATGACAGATTATTGTATGAATAAAAAGGCTGATGTTTAGCAGCTTAGTGTCATTTATTCTTACTTGTTGAATTGCGAAAAGTTGGAACGACTTCATATTCCAGTTGATCTAACGTCTTCACAAAATTAAAACATAATTCCAATTATTTATCCTGTTAATTGAAACAATGATCTCACGATAATAATAAAATTTTAATAAATCTTCATACAACCCATCTTTTCAAGCGCGTATCACCATCTTACACTCATGAATTACACTTTTTCCAGAACAAATTTAATCCAGCATTTTGGGACGTATGACGAGTTTTTACCGAGCGTCCCTCGTATACACCATACCTGAAATTTGGAAATGTTTACATTTCCATATTCCTTCGCGACGTTCAACTGTCATATGTCGACGCATCACTATTCCGGTTTCGCTCATTTTCTCCACGTGAAACAGACGTAGGGTTTAGAAGGGAATCTGCCGTTTTTCCCCCAAAATTGCAGTTCGATGATTTTTAATGTGTTCGGGTGTATTGATATATAGTGTTAACACCTAACGATGGTTTCCGTCGTTATCAATAAACCCAATGTGTCCGTCCTTTTGGTTTTATAATTGGAACAAGTGCTCTCATCCACGCTTTCGTTTTGAAACATCATTTGGCTGCAACCTCAGCGACAAGTTGTCTGAAAATTTAAATCCTTGCCGTATTGGTTGCAAGCTTTATATTTGTGTTTCAGCTCCTGAAGATGGTTCCATAGAGGACTGAAAGCTCGAGATAACCGTTAAAACAGTTTACTAAAGCCTAAACAATCTCCCAATTAACAATTAATTGTATTTCTTGCCCAACTATATATATATAGAGAGAGAGAGAAAATTATCATGCAGAGAAAGGTTTCGCTTCGAATCCACTTTCCTTTTTGCAGATTTTGCCCATTATTTTCCTACTTTATATACATATATAAAGGGATCGACCTTTATCATGTAAATTCCTCACAGCACAAATTATTTTATTGTTGTATGGACAATACGTACAAAAACATCATGGTGGTTCAGAATCAGGATCAAGATAACATTTTTAATTAAAAGAAATTTACAGTAAGTATAATTTATTTGACTAAAAGCGGTTGATTATAAAGTCGACAATTTCATATAATGTTTTACCTCTTTAAACTCATAAAACTTATCACACTTGCCATATTGCAATTTACTGGACTAAGTGGCATCAGCAGTTACTAACAGTATGTTATATCATAATAACCGAAAGTCACTTTTTCTTGGACTACCCAACTGTACAGTTCGTTGGATATGTTTGTAATAACTGCTAACGAATAAAACACTCTTAACGTATATATCATTTATTCAAATCACACATTTGCTTGATACATATGGTTTCAGCTTTGATCTAGATTTAATCTCACTATGAAGGCAATTATGTACACTTTAACATAGAAAAGTACAATCAGTGAAGAAACGAATCAGAGAGATAAAAAATTCAACAAATATAAGGACACCTGACTTGACTCGTTTTCATGTAGAGTTTAAGTCAAATGACCTGCACTAGATATCAGAAAAAAGGAAAACTTAAACAGCCTCGGCAAGACCAATACGGTTGTTGCCCAAATCGAATTCAGTATAATATTTGCCAATGAAAACGTCTCCCAAGATCCATAGGGGTCCATTTGGTGGGGGAATATCAATTCCCATGAAACCGGACAGACAGAGAGTTTGACCAGCCTGAGAAACCTGAAAAAATTGTAAAATAGACATTAGTAATGTTTGAAATGTAGACCAAGCTGACCAGCCAAAAATCGACTCTGTTTCAAAAGAAAATGTAGTTAGCGGTTTTACAATGGAATTATATTCTTGGGAGTATGTACATGCTAAGGTACCTCACCGAGAGGTACAAAAGAATGTGTTGGCTGATTTTTTTATTAATAATTGTCAAAGTTGGAAAAGTCATTTTTTCGCATATAGTCAATAAGAATTATTGGTGTAAGTGATGGTCCAAAATAAATTATGGAAAGTGGATGCAAATTCCTTCAAAATGAGGCCAATTTTACGTAACTGTTGTTATTACAAAAAAAAAACGTCAGGAATCGTCGATTTATACATTTATTTTTTACTGGTGAATGCAAAACGGTAAATCTGAAATACTAGCTAGCCAAAAGGTGCTTAACATCCAGAAAAAAACTCCATTAAAAAATGCTCAGTAAAGTAAAAGTAAAGGGTAAGGTCGTATCTCGAAGGTACAGTATATTCACTGAATCAAAGTGACAGTTACATCACAACGTCAAATAATGCCAGTGACGCACATGGTTGCCACATTAATTAAAACTACTGGATCCTAGGCAAATCAACCACAAATAATAAACAACAGCTGTTGGCGTAATTACCTGCAACCATAATCAAATCCAAGCGAATAACCAAAATTTCTGTGTTATGTACTGCGGTTATAATATCGTTCAAGATGACACACGGGTTGATGACGTCAGTTGCTCGAATCGCTTGAACGCGTTGGTTTTAACCGCGGTTTTGTTGCAAGTTGTTTATTTTAGAGAAACCCGTATATAATTTCTGATTATTTTTATTATCACTTAATAATCGGTGCTTTTTCGTGTATAACACATTCTCTAAACTTTTCTGCATGTCAAAGAAAATATTTATTGATTTAGCAGAAATGATAGGAAAACACGAAAAAAGATATTAACATCAAAACCGCGCATACAGGTGGACATCATCCAGTGAGTTTATATGGCCATATTTTAATATTCTTATGCTATATGGCTACACAGGATACTTTGTTAAGCATAGGAACTAGATTTACAGTGTCTCCAACAACCGTAATGATTATAACTAATAAGGTGCTCTATTTTATGCTGAAACTGAAGTCAGCCTGTATCAAGTTTCCCAAAAATGAAGCTGAAGTACAATTAAAAATATCTAATAGCCGGCAAATTTCTAACTTGTCACATTTCAAATAATATGACGTCACGGATCTTATAACCAAACTGATAACCACACTCGCTTGAACGGATCGGTAAATACCAATCCAAAATGGTAAATACCAATCCAAAATGGTAAATACCATTTTCATTTGGCTATCGGCTTGAATTTGATTAATGTCACAACCCAGAAAACTGTTACCAACATAAATGTACCCGGGAAATTCAAAGTATACTTACGAATTTAGGATCTATTTGGCAATAAGGTTGGCATGCAAATTTACTAAATATCACGTAACTGCTTTATTTCAGTGAAAGGACTATATTTTCATCCTCAACCACTTTTTTGCCCACTTACACTGATAACTCATAACTATTGACTTTTAATAAAAAAGTTACCCAGCTTTTATGTATCTTAACGGCGAGGGCCCTCAAGAATATAATAATGCTGTAAACCAGCTTATTACATTTTTTTTCTCTCAAATTCTAATATCCTGGTACACGGTTATTGAATCAACAAGGAAATCAATCATTAGACGAGCTGTGCAACACTGTCGTTTGCAGTTTTATGTACCGGCGCGGCATTTTCTTCATGTTACGAAAATTTATATGTAAGTTTCAGACAAGGTTTCAATTTTGTCGAACTGATGGTCAGTCACAATGTCTAATTCAAAACTTACCCTTAAGATGTAGTCTTTTCCCTCCAAGGAAAATTGCTTTCCACCCAAATCAAAATTGATGGTTGGTAGCTTTGGGATAGAGTCACAGCTGACCAAGTATTCGCCTCCCATGATTGGTGTAGCCCCAATTGCCTGAAAATGATAAAAACTGGTAACTTTGGAACTCTTAACTATTCCATTATTTAAAGCAACAGGCGCAGTCAAGCGATAATGCGATAATCAAATCTCCGATTAAGAGCGAACCAAATGAAAAAAAAAACAAATCAAAATTAGTTCTTTAAGATCGTATCTAAATTTGTTGATTAATTTTAATGACGCCTAGCCCAGTCCTATCCCCCTACAGCAATGTTTCTCGAAGTGAGCGATAACGAGTTCTTTTGGTGACCTATGGGGGAAATAAAGAGCCTAAAGAACATCTGACATTCGCTCTCAGAAGCACTGTTGTAGACGACCCCTCCCATGCTCTTCAAAATTGTCATAGTGGGCAGTAGATGAAAGAAGTTTGAAAATCTATGTCCTACAAGATTACATTCTCCTTTATTCGTCCTTCCTTACTTCTCCATTCTGTGCTTCACAAACTGATGCTGCTATGCAAAAGCTAATGTCTAAAGTTGTAGGTAATCCTCTTACAACTGATAATGTGATAATGACTATCATACATGATATGTCGCTTTCTCAAACGAAAATATAAAGCCACAATCCTCACAGATTTATAAAGACTTAGTCTGATCTCACCTTGTTGATGGCGTTGACTTCCTTGGAAGGTCCAGCGATGAGACTGGTTCCAGTATCGGCAATGGCTTCGCATCCGTTAGCGCAAAAGACCTTGTCAGAGCCTACTTCTACCTTGTCCATCTTGAACTGCCAGTATGCTTGACGGTCTACTGGCAGATAAGTGAATTCACCCTTGTAATGAGCTTTGTCAGACCCACCTAGGATCAGTTCACCACCCTGAGCCGCTGCAGGATCTCTTAAATCAAAATAGTGATCATGTAGAAACATTTGTTCTGTTGTACATACTGACCAGCCATGGAGTCACTTGATTTGTAATCTTTTTATAAAGGTCGAGATTTTTTTTAATCTCCCTTATTTATCCTGTATACCTCTAATAGTATAACTTATAGGAATCTAGTAAGACTTAGACCAACAAGTTACATGTTGTAAGCTGGTAGTCACGGACATCATTTACAGATCAATGCTTATTCTTCAGAAATATATCAACGAGGAAAGTGAAGAAGAATTTGTCATTTTGATTAACATGTTTACTAAATAAATTAAGTCAATATAATAATGTAACAAAAGAGATGTAGAAATACCATTTATGAACCTAATAAAAAACGTAAATGATTGTATAGAAAAAGTGGCATCTCTTCAACAATATCGTCTGGACACAAAAGAGGGTTGATAAAGAGGTTAAAATAGCTCAAAATGAACCAGATAGACAAAAAAGTACTTTCAAGTTAACCGGCTGAACAGAGGACTTTTTAACCTAATATGAAAACACCATATGAAGTGGTTAACCCTGTAAGTAGACAAGAAGTGCAATATTATGAACAATGTATTGATACGTATCAACATGATAGTAAGAATGGGGAAAACTATAAAAGCGACGAGAAACAATAGTTGTGATAACTTTACACGATAAAGTATGTTTTGTTGGGAATGGACTTACAAATATTCTGTTAAAATTGTAAATATTGTATCCAGTATTCCACAATAGAATAGAATAATTCTTTATTTGTGTAAGCCTGTAAATATGATACAAAACGTCAAAATAAAAAGAAAAGATGTGCATAACTAACACATGACATAAAAGAACTGGGATACAAAAACACATATAAAAGTAACGTGTTACTCGCACAAAAATTCATTTGTACTATAAAAAGCCTTAAGTAGTAAGAGGTTCCGAAATTTGCTTTTGAACAAAGATAAGCTGGTAATCTGCTTAATATCTAAAGGCAATTTATTATACTTGGTACTACATAAATACATCAGACTCTTTTTATAGGTACTAAGGTTAAAATTTTTAATATGAATATGGGTATGATATCTAGCATTGTAGGTACAACAGTACAAATCGAAACTAAATCAACAAGTTATGTTGAAAATATCTGGTATGGTATGACATAAGATCAAAAGACAATTATAACATTTAAAGGTTGAAAACTAGGATATTGGAAAAATCTTTTTTTGTTGAGGGGTTAAGACTTATAAGTGTTTACCACTAAAAACAAAAATTGCACAAAATGTAAATATATCCAAGAGCACATTAAGGATCATATACAGGGTGTTAATAAAGTATGTAGACAAACTTTAACCTTTGAATCCTTGGTCAATTTGAAGACTAAATGTTCATATGAACATGGGTTCATAACAGCTTTCTTTTTGAGCTAGAGCACTATAACTAAAGAAATACGAGTAATATTCCAAATATTTCTATGAATAATGAATCGTATTTATTGAACAGTTGGTATAACCTATGCTAAATTTTGCATGTTTTACAAGTTCCTGAGGCTCAATATGAACGTAAATGAAAGCAGTATTATCCTGTATTTTTAGAAAAAACATTAATTTAGAAGGTCAATTGTTTTGAACAGTAAAGTAACATTCGAATAGAACGACAAGAATATAACATATCGAATAGTTTTTTTTTACAGTAAGTGGTCACGAATTATATGAGAAAATAAATTAACAATTGTTTTCGGGTACGTCATAGGTATCTAGATAAGCACAATGCTTAAATATTAAAAGTATTGTGATCAAAACAAATCATTGTCATGCTATTTTTTCATAAAATACTGGTTAACATTATCCCTATCTACTTACATGGAGGGTGTGAAAACAACTGTAAATCATGTGATATTCACCACAGGGCATACTTAATCAAAATAAAATATGCTCCATTCTTTTATAATTTTTTAGAATAACATCATTTATTTTAGTGCTAATATGCTCTAGCTTGAAAACAAAGCTGTTGCAGACCCATGTTCATATGGAAATTTCGTCTTCAAATTGACCAAGGATTCGATGGTTAAAGTTTGTCTACACACTTTATTAACACCCTGTATTTTAGATCAAAGTGATATGTAATTTTTATGTTCATATTAATGTAAAATTGCAGCTTAAAGCTAAATGAAAACATATTTCATTCTATTCAAGATGCTAATCATGCAAAAACTGAAAGCATCAAACAATTGTTGCCAAGTACCTGTTCAAGTAGAAGGAGAACACTGGTTGTTTCACGAGTCCTTGATCGATCATGTTGTAAAAAACTGGAGGAACGCCATCTACTGCAATTCTGCTGTAGCCCATTCCCAAGATGCCGTCGAATTTGGCAGCTACAAAAGCCATACCAGGTTCGTTCATGGCCTCGGCGAAGGTTTGTTCTTTAACTGTCAGCCCACCAAACTAAATAAATAAGAGCGACAAATAACAAATACAATAAACAGTGTATCAATATTTGATATAACTAATGATTTAATAGAAGAGGAGATGCTTACAGAGACATGGTCAGTGGACAAGAATCCATCAAGGCTTCCAGAACCATACTGAATGGCAAAGGAGGTTCCATTCTTCTTGTAGGATGATGATTTTGAAGAGTCATACTTGTTATGGAGCACTGCAAAAATGTATCTTTACATTACTAGTCATAAAAGTGTCATGCTAAGTTTGCTTGCTGAAGCAAAAAAAAAATAATAGAACTGTGTATTGTAAACAACCATAATCAGGTTGACAGCAAAGGATACTGACATAAAATTTGCACATTACTGAATGTTACGCATTGTATTAAAAGTATGATGAAAAATCTTGGCACTTTCCCAATAATGAAATCTAAAAACCTCTTAGTACTTCACAAAAGGAGTCTAATTGGACTAAGGATTTTTATGAAAGCTTTCCATATTACACACAAAAACCTGTATAATGTAAAAGAAATCGGTAAAATGTTGTGTGCACTAGGTAGCGTCTAGTGAGCTGGTAGGCCATTCCGCGCTTACTACAAGTGAACATGAAGTGAATGTCAGTTTGTTCGAAGGATTTTATAGAAAAACCTACCAGTAATATGTAATACGATTGCGAAAACCGCGTTCAGGAATATGAGAATAGAAGTCTGAAAATAACAATTTTTCATTTAAACTATACCTCATTCAATAACATCAAATGAAACAAATGCTTAGTCTTGAGCAATACTTACAACATGCTATGTTGGTAAAATGACACTTCTTTGAGGGCACCCACAAATTGGAAGATCCTGTATCAAAGACAACCTTGAAAGTTTGTGGTGGAGTACCAATGCTAATAGGGGCCGTAATACTGAGCCTGAAAATGAAAAAAATATTATGAAGCATTTACAAAAATAACATGGAACATTTAGTGATATAGTGGTTATTGAGTTTTTGTTTTTTAATGCATTTTATAACAATGCAGGTAAACTTAGCCTTCATTTTGGGTCAAGCTTTTCAGCTGATAGTGCTTTCCACTTTTCAAACAATATGCACCAATAAAATACATTTATGTTATAAGGCCATGTGGATGATCATTTGAAGCAGTACCACTTCAAAAAAATATATCTTGGGTATTTCTGTACGCCTGATAGATCAAGATTAAAATATGGAAATGATATAATAATCAGCAAAAACATTTCAGTGAAGACTTCCAGCGTTCAATTTTTCTATTTATATCAAGTATTTTTTAAAGTATGGCACTAGATATGGAATACTTCAGATTAGCGAATATGAACATGGTAGAATCTCTGAAGTATATGTGGAGCAATAAAGTTTCCACCTATTTTCCATTAGATGCAAAAGCAATAAAAGAATTAGAATTATACCTTGAACTTGTTTTAACCAACAATGCTAAATCTGAAAACTTATTACTATTTGAGGGTATAAGTGGCACCAAAATTAATTGATATGTTGTTTAGATTTAGAGTTCAATGCCTGACATATCTGTCACAGGATCTTAGGTCAATCTGACTCAATTGTAAGCAAAAATGATTCATTTGTGATATAAACCCATCATTAAATACTTATTACAAACAAGCCCAAGTGAGTATGTTTAATCCAAGATACATATTCACCAATGATAACCTATGCCGTATATTTAGAATTTGTTGTTTATATTATGATTAAATATTGATTGTTTATTTGGTAGCTAAGTTATTACAATATTTTTAATCATATACTTGTATGACTCCATGGTTTCAGAGCTTTATAGTTTACTGAATGTTTTTAGTAAAGATGAAAGAAATAGAATCTATGGAAACTTACATCTAGGTAGTTGGAAAGGGGCTCAGGCACTGGTCCACTTTGACTCCTATACTTATTTCCATTTAACACAACTTGTCTTACATCAGTTCCAACTTCCTGAAGACTCCTTCTAATTGATTTGAACTTATACAAGGGTATTCTGTGAAAAAAAAACGTTTAATAGAAGATTTTTGTATGATCTAAAGATGGATTTAGTGTACAAGCTATCTTTTGAGAATATCTAGTTTTGAATCTAGATAACAATATCTTTCGTATAATTGGACAGACCAATAGGTTGTCACACAATTCATTAAGTTATTGGTGCAAACACTAAATGTGTCAACATCTGAAAGTTATGCTGTGGTTTCCATGTTGGATAAGCACTGTTGGAACCAAAATATCATTCAGCAAAGAAGAATTTCAACCATATGTGGTTTTGATTTGACCAGATGAGGATGGGGGACTACTAAATGTGTTTATATAGATTGAAATCTATGTATGATAATACTGGGGCAAGAAGAATAAATTGTCAATGTTTTGCAGATATATTCAGTTCTGATAGAGTAAAATAATGGAAACAAAAATATCCAAGTTATATTTCTCATTTTCTTCATAGCCACCCAATCATTGACCTATTTTTATGGTGCAACCAAAGGTTACTTCCTTGTCCAGAACTGAAGATCAGACTTTCTCCCAATCATCAGCTGGAGTTGAATGTTTAGTTGTTCAAAAATGTGGGGTGTGTTATAAGAATAAAGTAGTGGAATAATGAAAGCTTGTTGCACTTCAATCTGTTTCTTATAAGTTGTGACCTTAGTTTATGCAACATTGCAGTGAAATTTGTTATAGTAAACAATAAAATGTGATTTTTCAATGATTATATTTGTCTTCAGTAAAGTTGTTGCATTTGGATTAAAATCATGTAAGAAATAGACAAAAAGGTATTCAAATTGGAACATTTTATTTACCATACCGGAGATTAACAGAAAATGGCACCTAGAAAATTATAGAATTCAAAATATGTGTATAAGACTGATATTTACAATAAATAAGGTTGAATTTGATATAGGGATTTGAAAACCGCTATTCACACACAATTCCATGAAACATTTTCAAAATTATACTTTGTAATAAAGGCAATTATCAGAACAAAGTTATCATTTGATTCAATTTTCTTTTGACATGGAATAAGTTGAATAGTTCATAGTAATCAAACAGTTGTACATAAAGTTCAAACCCAACACATAGAAATCTGGCTTTTCTATCTTCAAACATATTTGCCCTGCAGGATTGGATGTCTGACAAAATTGTGTACACTAGTACCAACTGGTAGCTCAAAGCTATTCCAGAGTACATTAATTGGATTCAACAGAAAAGTATTAATTCAGGCCCATATTTGTATATGTTAATGTTCTTTAGTATGTCTTGATAAGTGTTTCAATTGTTCATAATTTTTCAATTTGTATTCCTTTGACTTTACAAAACTTTTTGTGAGGAGAGATTTCTTAAAATCTTTGACCACCAGTCAAGGTCACATGTATGTCCAAGTATATCTTTTAGCTGAATGTAGCTGATACTGAAGCTTAGGTTGGACCCAACTTCTTTCATACAAAAGAATGTTTTGAAAAACAAATATTTTATTCATTTTTGCATAATCGTCAGAATAAATCCTATGAAGCTTACAAGGTCTGGTGCAAATAAGCCAAAATATAGCTTCAGAACTTATTATCTACAAAAGCAAAACACACATTTGAGTTATATCTCTCTAAGCATTTATAAAATTTGTGAAACTAAGACAAATGTTAATAAGTTATTGAGGTATATTTGATATCAGCAGTAGCAAGACTGAAAAGATATAAATTATGAAAACAAAATTGTGATTTAACTTATACAATAATTAATGTCCTGTATCCTGAAGTTCAGTTTTACAAACACAGTTTCTCAATTTATAAAAATACATTGTGGTTTAAGTATAAACAGCAGTACTCAGCATAAAAAGAGGAAATAATGAAACTGTAATAGATGCTAACACATCATTTTTTTAGCTTCATTTTAGCATTCCTTGTCTGTCTTTATTAGTTCTTTGTCATGAAAATCTTGAGAATCAGAAACATCTTTTATAGGTAAACAAATATCACCAATAAAGTACGGTAGAGTCGTACCATTACCGGTATGTGGAAAAAGAGCTGAATCGGCACAAGTCCAGTAGAGAACTGAAAAGTACTAATTCCAGGTTAAACAACAGGATGAAAATTAAAAGAGAAACGTCGCAATAATGTAAAATTCCACTTGGACAAAGTATCAGTTGGAAATGCATTATATTTTTAGACATAAGTAGACACTATTTTGCAAATCTTGGCAGCCCGGAACCGACAATATACGTAATTGCAGTATGCAGTATGCTATGGACTCACCTTTGAAATTCGCAGTTCACTGCCACAAGAGCAAAAAGAAGTATTAGCAGCAGCTTCATATTTTATTCCAGACCTACCCGCTGCTTCTTTATAACTAAACTATTTCTATTCTGTTACAAATAAAACAACTAAACAACAATGATATGCACAAAACATATACACCACACCGAAAGAATCACAAAATATTCACTGAAAGAATGCTAACTCAGTGTAATTCAACCAGCAACACGAATGTCGCCATGTTGTCGTGGTGAAAAAACAAATATGACACAGAAAAAACGCCTGCCTACTCAGAACAATTCCACGAAATGACATATGCCGCCATGTTTCTTACAATGACATACGGCGATACTCTCATGGTTGCCTACTTTCTCACCACATCTGTCACTCATTGCCATCTTTATTTGGTTGTTTTGAATGGTTTTCCTAATAACAAAAATTAATTTTGCATTAGGAAAAACAATTCAAACACCTCACGTGTCTATGTGATTGGGTTCGTTCAAGAGTGATAAATAAAACAATATACTGGGAAAAATAACTTATTTCTGGAGACAAACGTAAGGTGGTGCTTGCATTTCCCAATTAGTGGCATGTAAGAATCAGAAACCCCCATGGGAGGTTTCTGAATCATAATTCAAATATACGTCATAAGGAAACTACAAAAAAACATGGTACCACACTCAACAAAATTCACTAACAAAAAAATATAATATGGCCATATAAACTCACTAGTTGATATCTACGTGTGTACGGTTTTGCTAATTTCTTTTTTCATCATTTCTGCTGAATCAATAAATGTTTTTTTTGACATTCGGAAAAATTTAGAGAATTGAAAGTTATCATAGCTACAAAGCCATGGTTCCATCATTCAAAAAAAAATCTGAAAAAAACATTTCTCCCATGAATATTATGAAAGGTTTCTTATTTAAACTTTCCATATACAGTTGTAGACGAAAAAGCACCGATTATTAAGTGATAATAAAAATATTCAGAGATTATATACGCGCTTTTCTAAAATAAACAACTTGCAACAAAACCGCGGTTAAAACCAACGCGTTCAAGCGATTCGTGTAACTGACGTCATCAAGCCGTGTGTCATCTTGAACCATATTATAACCGCGGCACATAACACAGAAATTTTGGTTATTCGCTTGGATTTGATTAATGTCATGTAGGTACTCACCTGTATTTTTTTAACCCACTCCAATCTACGGTTCAACGATTCGTGAAACTGACGTCATCAACCCGTGTGTCATCTTGAACCATATTATAACCGCGGCACATAACACAGAAATTTTGGTTATTCGCTTGGATTGATTATTTACACTGAAGAAGCTTTAATTCATGCTATTCACTGACAACACGATGACTTGTGTGGTTGTCAGCGGCCATTTTTTTAAGGTGCGACATGGTTGGCAGATTGTGCATTAATATCCCGCAACGTTGCCAGCTCTACATATAAATCTGAGATTGCTATGCTTTTTAAATCTCCCAGTTTTGGTACCAAGTTAACCTGTTAGCCACTATTAAGAGCTTTTATCCGATCCTGAAGAGTACCTACTTCTCGGCACGACATACCTGTCAGCTGCTTCTCTAAGCGAAAACTTTTCTTCAACACTTTGTATAGCCTGTTTCATTCTATCTGTATCCCAATTCCCTCTTTCAGTCACTCTTTCCTTAAATTTTGGCATTTTTCAGGGTGTCTGCAATAAACAAATGGACTATAATTAATCTCTTATTATAAAATACCGATGTAATACAGAAATATTTAAATAAAGATTTTCTCTCCACTCAAAAAGCGTCCGAGGGTACCCGACAAAATTGTGTCCGGTTTTACCCGGCCGTCTCGTTCCAACCTTCTATTTATATAAAAAAAAAACATCAATCCCGGCGACATAAAATAACCTAAACTTTAAACTATAATAATTACTGCTTAGAATAATTTATAAATGATGATAAAGTACTTACATTCAATGTCCATAAACTGTATTTGTAGAGTAAACGGCGCGCGAAAATATCTCGGTGATGGAAACAATTAACTGTCACTTGTTATCCGATAGATGATTACGTCAGTACTGCGGCGGATAAACATCTACGCGTTAAATTCCCGTTACCGGAAAATTACTTTTTAAAAAAGTTTTATTTTGGAGACAAGTGATTGTTACAAGCAGGAGTACAACACTGAACTAACTGAATTCAAAAGATAATAAAAATGAAAAATGTCTATCTTGCAAAATCTACAAAGGTGAAGCTCCGTTCATTGTGCTGATACACGATATGCATGTCCGGCATGGACACATAACTCCTCCCTCCTTAGGCTGGAAGTTCGTCCTCGAACTTCTCTGGTTGAATTTCTTGAAGTTAAAGATCCTTCAATGGAATTCTTGGCTTGAAGAATAGGGTGTGTAGTCTTTTACGTTTTCTTGAGACAAAGTAAATTATCGTTGCAACCAAGATAACGTACAGGGTTGCAACAATCCATGATGTGGACGATATGAAGATCGGCTTGAGATGCATCGGTTGTATAATGGACAGCTGGGGACTCTCTTGAATTTTCTCAATTTGGTCCAAGTGAATTTGAAATTTCGGACTGATTTTCACTGGTATGACGTCTGGGACCTGGATTTTCTGACTTGTAGTGGTGTACCATTTTTCATCAATTTTTACTGCACAATTTGACTGTATTAAGACTGACTGACTGACATTTATAGCTTTTCTGGAATAGATTTCCAAAATTTGGATTTGCTTGTATGTACTCATTATTATCAGGCTTTTCTCTGTGCGGTGGATAATCGGTTGTTGGAAGACTGTTATAGCAGTATTCCAAAGTTGGCAATTGGCATTTGCTTAACGACTTTGATTGGCAGATAGTTTTCTTCTGAGTGTGTTTACATTCGGGGTACCAATCATTATATCCATAGTATTCGGCAGGAGGTATCAAAATTATAGCGTGTTTGTTATGGATGGGGTAAATATGGTAAATAGGGAACTGATGTTCATCTAGGATGGGGACTTTTAGGATAATCAGAATTTGAGTATCCGTTGTCACTACTGTATTTTGAGAATTTTCAATTAATTCAAAAGGATGTCAATCATCAGATAATAGACAAGTTTTCTTATAGAAGAATTTTAAATGATTTTCCAGATCAGTAATTTCTGATATTGTGAAAATTTCTACATTATGTTCTCAAAATTTTTAGAAGAAATTGATTTAATGTATTAATGCTGGAAATTTGACTATGAATGGCAAAATATTTTTTGAGGCCATCTTTCAAATAATTAATCTCCTGTGCGACTTTGACAGAATTTTTGTTGAATGCTGTAATAAAGTTATTATATCTTTTTATAGTGTTTAATTGCTTCTTTTCAAGGGCATCAATATGTTTTTCCAAAAATATCCGATTATCTTCATCGAGATTTCCAGTGATTGATTTTATCACAGTACCTAAAAGATTTACTAGACCACGCTTTCTTCGAGAACGAATTAATTTATGAAAATTATCCAGAGTTTCCTGGTATAAAATGCTATACTGAGTGATTATATTCTGATAACAAGAAGTAGAAATTTTAGAGAAGTATCAATAGAAGTTAAATTAATGGTTAAAATATGACGATGAGAGTGATCAAACATCAGAGCTTGACTAATAAACTCCTGATAGTATCCATTATTTGGGATCGGGTGCACTTGAAGGGCCAGGTTGTGGCTCAGCAGGTGGATTGTCCTGTAACAATGAAGCCTTGCGTAAGCGTTTTATATTTCTGGGATGGGTGTTTGTAGGTCTGTTTTTGGAAGTTACAGCCTCAATTTGAGTTTGTTTTGCCGAAGTGACTTTGGCTGCTATATAGGGTGCTGTGAGCTTATTTCGAGGATTTTTGTGAATATAAATGGGCTTAGGAGCCGGGGTAGATTCCTGAAGTTTTTCGTTACGTTTATTTAAAATTTCAGTTTCCTTATGATAAAGTTTGCGATACAGAGAGTCAATAAAAGGTCGGAGTTCATCTTTATGCTGTTGGTTATATTTTTCATATACAGGCATACCATTTTCAAATTGAATTTCTTGAGCATAGGGACCATAGAGAATTGAAAATGGAGAATAGCCAGTTACAGAATGTATTGATTGATTATAGACAAGAACGCAATGAGTGACTAAATCTTGAAAATATTCTTTAGGACGTTGATCTTTCATAACTCTGAGTTTTTCTCTAAAAGTGGAGTGAAAACGCTCGACGGGACTGTTAGAATTTGGATCATTTATTGTAATGAAATGAAGTTCGATTTTGTGAAGTTTCATGAGTTGTTTGAAAAGATTATTAGAAAATTATGTGCCTTCGTCAGATATAATTTTCTTAGGATAATTGTGGTGTGAAAAATAGTGTCGTAATTTGCTTAATATTGTAACTGTAGTTTTGTCGGGTATTTGATAGACTTGGGCATACTTGGAGAAAGAATCGACAATTGTCAAAAAATTTCCTTTAGAGCATGAAAATGTATCAATATGTAAAATATCAAATGGTTTTTCACCTAGAAGTGGACCTTGAAGAGGAAGTTTATATCGATGTCTTTCGTATTTGTTACGAAGACAGATATCACACTGATTAATGAAATTCGATATAGTGCAACGCATATTCGGCCAATAATATTTGAGTTTAAATTGATTCAATGTTTCAATAATACCATTATGATTATTTTCGTGATAGTCTTTAACACAATTTATTTGAGCTTCGGGATCTTCTATATCCTGAACACGTTTGGTGCAAAGAAAATTCGAACAGATTCATTACGTAATATGTATTTTTAAATATTCGGAAATATATTTTTGGATATCGACGCTATCAGTAAAAATGTAGTATCGCTGATTTGGATTGACGAGTTTGATTTTTTAAGGTTTGATTGTCAAATTCCTCAACATCAAATTCGACATCTGAGGAGTCTGAAGGAGGATTGGCAATGATAGATTCAGTTTCGTGCATATTAATTTCGATACGGGAAAGGGCATCGGCAACGACATTATCTTTGCCTTTTTTGTATTTTATATGGAAATTATAATCTTGTAACTTGAGTTTCCAACGAGCTAAACGGGAATGGGGCTCTTTAAGTTTTTGGATCCAGACAATTGGATTGTGAGCAGTTTCGACAGTAAAGTGAATACCATAAATGATGGAAGTGCGTGCAGGAGTCTAAAATTGCAAGAAGTTCTCTTTCTATAGTGGAATAATTTCTTTCTGAAGATTTGAGACTACGAGAGTAATAAGCTATTGGCTTGCCATTTTGGCTTAAATACGAGCCTATAGAGACACCTGAAGCGTCTGTTGTGAGGGTGAAG